TGAACACATCAGACACAGATGGATGGACAGTTGAACACAACAGACACAGATGGATGGACAGTTGAACACATCAGACACAGATGGATGGACAGTTGAACACATCAGACACAGATGGATGGACAGTTGAACACATCAGACACAGATGGATGGACAGTTGAACACATCAAACACAGATGGATGGACAGTTGAACACAACAGACACAGATGGATGGACAGTTGAACACATCAGACACAGATGGATGGACAGTTGAACACATCAGACACAGATGGATGGACAGTTGAACACACCATACACACATGGCTGGACACATACAGATGAAGAATAATCATACAGTCAAAAACACATACAACTGAATGAAACACTGATGCAACATTTTAAAATCAGTAGATCTGCAATTTCCTGGTTACAACAAGCACCCACACCTCCATCACTCTCACCGACATACAGTGAGTATAACTGCCACTGACAGGTTGTGAGAATTCTTTGTGAACTAGTTATTTAAAATAGTTGGAGACTATGTATTATCATTCATAAGACTGTTGAAGAGAACCAATCAGCAAAGCATACACCTAAATTGCACCAGAAGAATCAGGTCATGATGAGAATGATCAATATCTGAATTGTTTGTTCAGGGTGAGAATGGTATGATTATGAATTCTCATCAGTTCTGTCGAGTGAGAATGCTCAGATTATGAAAAGTTGACACCTTTTACTATTACATTGTTACATATATCATTTGGTTGACTTTCTTTTTTATTATTTATTTAGCCAGTATTTATCTATTTGAAGATGCATACTATCCCCTCGTACAGGCATTTCCTGTCCACAGATCGGGCCCAATTATCGACTCAGAAATGAGTGACTCATATTTTACATGCACTGAGAATAGGAATAGTAAACTGGACTACAGCTTTACACCCCTTCTGAGATGACGCAATTTTCCCAAATACAAAAGCTGCTAGTCTGGCAGGTGGTCGTAATGTACTTATTTTTCTGCACGCAAACAAAGGCCAGTCAACCAAATAATTATGTGTGACATTGTATTTGTAAAACCTAAGTCAATCAATTGATATTGGTATAACGTTATATGTATACATTAATGTAATTATAAAAGG